GCTGCTGCCTGGTACCATAAAATCAGCCGCAGTCTCCAGCTCAGGAGGGCCCAGGCTGCTCATGTGGCTTAGGAGATAGTGTGGGAAGCAGTGCCCCGAAGGTACAGACCTGGGATGAAAATCAAAGAGGGCCACCTGAGGTGGCTGCGGGGACAGGGGAGGGTGTCAGGTTAGGGTAGCGCTGCTGGCAAAGAGAGGCAAAGACAGAGGCAGGAGGCGGGGAATACGTGTAGTGAGGGGGCGCCAGAAGTGTTTCCGTGGCCGCTGCCTGTGCGTGTGAGGGGTCGGGGTGGAGGATGAGAACAAGGTGTCTCGCTCATCGCACGAGGTGGACTGGAGGTTTAATCAGAGGGAACGGTGACCAGAACTAGGTAATAGGATTCTGCAGACTACTGGGGGTGCTATGCACTGCCAGAAGCACAAACGAACCTCTCCTGGAAGAAGTCGTGCCAGAGTGGTCTTGGAAGTGAGGGCGGCAAGACCGTCGTACATGCCTTCGACATGTTGTCAGGAGGGACCAGTTCCTGGAGAAGGACACCAAGCTTGGTAAAGTAGAGGGGCAGCAAAAAAAAAGAGACAGACTCTCAATTCGATGGACTGACACGGTGGCTGGTACCGTGAGCTAAAACACAGCAATGGCGAGGAGGGCGCAGGACGGGGTGATGTTTCCTTCGGCCGCACACGGGGTCGCTGGAGGTGGAAGCAACTTGATGACACCTAACCACACTAGGATGCTTTATCCTTCATTCTTTCTACCACCCTCTTCATCTCTGCAACGGCTGCGTGTGACTCCAGAAGGAAAGCAGTGCATGGTTGATAGACACAGCAGCAGGGGCCAGAAAGATGTGAGGCGGGGGAGACCTGCTGATGGAGCCTTGGAGAGTCACTCTGGCTAGGACGTGGAGGTGAACTGGTAGGAAAAGGATGAAAAGTGGAGATGCCAGCTAGGAATATCGGCAGCCATCACACACACACGGGGTCACCAGGAGACAGAATTTACTCCATGGCCACTAACAACAGTCAAGTGTCAGTACAGGGTCAAACCAGAATGGAGGTTCCGACCAAGAAGAGGAAGCAGACTTGAGGTGTGGGGCAGTCAGCATGACATGGTGACTTACTAAATATGAGGGCAGGGAGGACTCAATCGAGGTGAGTCTTTGAGACACTCCGTGGGCATTTGGTGACACACTGATCGTGGCAGGGTATAGAGGGGGAGGCTGTGAATCTGGACTGCTGAGGTTGGGGTGTCTGTAGCAAGATGCCCAGTGGAGAGTTGGACACAGAGGCTTAAGGATTGGGAGGGGCTCTGGGCTGAGGATCTGCTCTAGGAATGTGTCTTTAGCCAGAGCTCTCTAGTTAAGTCACAGGAGTACAGGACTGGGAACCATGGCATGTAAGAGGGGAAGGAAAGGCTCACTGAGAGACTGGGCAGAAGTAGACTGAAAATGGAGAGTTGGGAAGGAGAGGAAAAGAGAGTGAAGAGAGCAGACAGACAGACAGAGGTCAAGGGAGGGACAGGAAGCTTCTAGGAGGAGGCTGTTACTGGCACTCAGTCCAGCAGAGCAGCCATGTGGGCTGAGGACTAAGAAGGCGCCCCTAGTGCTCAGGAGGCCCCTGAGTTTAGCCTCTGCTAGAATGTTCCCTAACCCTGGGGTACAGGCCCTCCCAGGTTTGGCTGTGGGTCTTCTGCTCCTGGCACAGGACTTGGGACTTGGCAGGACAGAAAGGGGAGAGACCAGGACGTGAGAGCCAGTTGCAGTAGGTGGAGGGATGAACAGCATACCCCATCCCCACAAAACAAAAAACCCAAACCCTTTGCCGTCTAGTCAATTCTGACCCACAGCGACCCCCACAGGGTCAAACAGAACTGTCCTTGCAGGTTTCTGAGACTTTAACTCTTTATGGGGGCAGGCAAACTTGTCTTTCTGCCACAGAAGAGACTCCAAGTCACGGTGATCCCCCGGGGCCTCAGGGTGGGAAAGCCGCATCCCAGAAGTCCTAGAGTGGTGGGTTCTAAGACCAATGGCAAGTGCCTGTAGGGGCACTCTTGGTCCTATTGGAGGGGCAGGCTCAGCGCCCACCTGGAGGAGTCTGGGAGTCGGAGACGTGTTTTCTGTCTCGGAAAATGACTTAAGGAAAAGCTGCTAGTGGAAGGGTGATCTGCACAGGAGAGCGAGAATGGGGCATTTGCTGAGAGACAGTGCCACCTAGCGAGCACGAGGCACTCCTGCCAGGCTTCAGTCAGATCCCTATGCAGTAGGGGACCTAGGCCTAAAAAGGGCGGGG